CTCCTTTCCCCAAAATCTTCCTACAGCACAACACCCACAGTTTTTACATTAAACTTTTTCTTTATTTTTATTTTCTCCTTCACGCTTAAAGAGAAACGCAGACCAGGGGGACAGTGAGAAGGAAACAGGATGGATGGAGAATGGGGCGGGATGCAACAATGTCAACAAGAGGAATACACTCTAGAAGGATAAGTTTAATTTCCACAACAAACCGGCGTGATATTTGTATGCTGCCCTCCACTCACCAGCCCTGCCTCTGCCGTTTCTACAAGCGCATCATCCCACCCCAAGCGCTCCAATTATGTCGATGATATATCCACAGTTTTATAAGCACAACATGATGATCCATCCCCACTGTTTCTTTTTTCCCTCTCTCGTATTTCTTCTTTATTCATTTTAATACCAAACATAACGAGCTCCTCATATAGGGTTCAGATTTAAGTCACCTCTGTATGTCTATTTACAGCGTTTAATTCTCTCCTATTTCACGCTTTGCGACGTTTGGGACGTTTAAATTCTAGCTGTCATTCGGCCGCTTTCGACTTTTATAGTCTACACGAGGGACGCAAGGCCTAGCCCCTCACTGTTGAGCCGTGAAGTAAATCGGGGCCAGGAGTCAGATCACATCCAAGGGTCGCCCGAGTTGGTCCTCTCGGCTTTGTCCGCGATACCGACTCCGATCTTAGCCAGGATTTACCTCGGATCATTCACTGACTAAATATCTACCCAACCCAAAGGGCAGGACAAAAGATGCGACTTTTGCTGACAAGACCGGCAGATCTAGCAGGGGTACCGTCTATCCCGTAGGATGATGGTTTTACAGGGACTCGCGCTTTGTCTGCCGTTTCTCTTCAGGCATTAATGACCAAAAAACTGGGCTATATATTGGGCTTCTCGCGGTCCGCACCGACAGACAGTCACTGACTCTTCCAACAGTTATCCCCCAGGGTAGATGTCCCTGTGGGTCTTATCTTCCCCATCTCCCCCTGCCTCACACCTGCTGCTCTTCATCAGTTATGTTTCTCTTTATTGTACTGCGTAGGTTGTGTTCTCTTATCAAATAATAATAATAATAATAATAATAATAATAATAATAATAATAATTTCCTTAATTGGTGCTCAAGCTCTAAACTACAGGCAAATGACCCGCTGTCATTGCAAGGTACCCATTACCACTTGGGTCAAGTAGGGGAAACGTGTGTAAAGCGTTTTCCCCAAGGGACGGGATTCAAACCCTCGACCTTTCTGTTTGTTTTTGTTTATTGTCAAAGAGTCGTTACCAACAAGGTCGATTTTTGTTTTCATATTAATATTTTCATTACGGTTGTCATTGCTGATAGGTAGTCTTTTTCTGTTGTGTGTTCCTGTTAGTTTTTGTGGTGTAAATGTTATATGTATAATACTTACTCTCTGGAGCCCCTCTAAACTCCCCTTTCTTATTTTGTCCTCCTTTCTATCTTGTCCCCCTCCCTCACCCCATGCGGTATGTGTGAAGGGCTTTTTGCTGGGTGCAGAGTGTATCCCGGGCCTCTGTGGGCCGGCTACTCCACGCGGCGAGAGGGCGTCTCGGGTTACAGCTCGGCGGCCAGGCCTGTAGCACCCCAGCATTCTTCTCACGACACGCCACGGGACTGTACAATATTGTGGTCTACTCAATAGAAATTAACATGGCTAGTGGCTGCCGACACCGACAGGGCATTCTCCCCAGGTAAGTCAGATTCCCAGGGCTTTGTCAGCCCAGAGGCATTCTGGGATGGGCGGGGCGCGGGCGTCCGCTTAAGGTCGTCATGTTTTGGGGTACTGTGCCTAAGATGATATCGTCTTTCGAGGACCAGGATTTTTGGAGAGGGAAACATTCAAGAAATGCTGTGGTTTTGATACACCGGCTTACACATCTACAATAAAGTTTTATCATAACTGTTGGGATAAGGAAACAAACAAACACAAGACAAAAGAAGCTGTTTTTAGTTGACGTACATGCGTAAGAATGTAGGACAAAAGCAATTTCAAAAAGAGAAGGGGGAAAAACGCCGACCTAAATGACGAAACACAACAACGATTATTTAATGGTGGGATAACGCAAGACAGATAGAAAGATGTATCAGAGAGATCTGCGTCTTAGCTTTCCCAGTATTTGAAGGCTGTGTCTCGGGCCTTACTATTGCAATAAACCACTCTCTTGCAATTCTGCCTGCCTGAGCAGTTTTGGTTCCAAACCCGGTTTCTATGTCCTGTTCCCATCTTCTGCTAGGTATTCCCCTTCCTCTCTTGCTTTCTACTTTGCATCTAGAACGTTTCTCGAGTAAATCATGGTGTTCGATATGCCCACAGTAATCCCAGTTTCAGTTTCATTACGTTGTTTGTTGTTGTTTTTGTTTTTTCTTTGGGGGGGGGGGGGGG